TCCCCTGCTGTAAATTCCAACAAAGGTTTCCCTGCGTCAGTCCCAACGTTGCCCTCAGCCGGTCCATGCACAGTCATTAGCTGTGTGGGGTGTGCTGTGTTGTCTGTGTGTGTGTGTGTGTGTGTGGTTGGTGTGTGTGTGGTGTGTGCTGTGTGTGTGTGTTGTGTGTGTGTGTTTGGCGTTAAGCAGCATTGGCAGCTTTCCGATCCCCCACTGCAGGCAGCCACTGAAAAATGGATCCTGGAGGGAGAGCTGAAAAGAGCTCTCTCCGTCTGTTATCTCCCTTTCCTTCTCCCTTTTCTATTCGTTTCCATGCTCCTCTTTTCTTTTCCTCGTCCCCTCTTGAACGCCCACCAGGCCTGCGAGGTCTGATCACCTTGGGCAACATCATCTTCCATGAACTGGCAATCGTCCAGGCGCGTTGGACCCAACCCCGCTGGCTTGCGTGAACTTCTTCCCTGTCCGACGCGACACAAAATGGCGAAGACTGCAGAGCAATCGCTGTTGGTGTGCGAGAATGTCGCAACTCTTCCAGAGGTAAACTCTCTTGTGTGTTTTTTTTTTTTTTTTTTTTTGTTGGTTATTTAACAATTAAGTTCCAAATAGGTAAAAAGAAGCAAGAATAAGGAAGGCGTTTACTTCTCTCTCACCCGCGTACGACCGCTTCCTTCTCCAGTTCTAACTTCAGGCCATCGGTCTCCGCACAATCCCCCTTCCCGTCTCCCCTCCATCCCCTGGTGTTGGAACCCCACGGCCCGTGCACCGGTGGCCCGCCCTACTGAGCAGGCAGTGACGCCCAACGAGAGTTCCTCCCCATCCCGGCGCGGACGTCCGCACAGACACTGGCAAAAGTTGGACACCAAAGCCAGAGGCGACCCAACAAAATTGCCATAAAAATTGAGACAAGACCGAACATGTAAAGGAGTGCGAAAAAAAAGCAGGAAGAAATGACACGAGAGAGGCCCTTTTAGCCAGAGTGTGGTGTCGACGGGGAAGGGGGGGGGGGGTGCTGGTTGGAATGAGTGGAGTTGAGAGGATGGAAAGAGGAGAGAGAAGCACTGACTGACAGAGAGATGGAGAGACAGCACTGATCTCTGTGTCTCTCTGCAGTTTATAAGCAGAGAGGATGGCTGTGAAGTTACACAGCATTGCTTTTAGTGACTGTGTGTGCGTGTGTGTGCGCGTGTGTGTGTGTGTGTGTGCGCGCGCGTGTGTTTTTATATCCACACAGACGACAACGGGAAGAAAGCCAACAATCCCAACCACTGTAACTGCATCATCGACCAAATCTTCACAGGGGGCCTGCAGTCTGACGTCACCTGTCAAGTCTGCCAGTAAGTGCGTGTGATAGTGTGTGAGGTTCTTCCACAAGAAAAACACAACACAAAAACCCTTTTCAGGCCTCACTAGAGACTAACAGAACAAAGCCTTGACCTTGTGCACTACAGCATTGTCTTCCAGTACAGTTCCATTATGTCACAGTATGCTCTGACCAAACAGCCGCTCCAAAACGACACACTTCACTTCTCACCGTCCTGGATCAGAACTCTCCATTTCCCTGCCCTGAGGTTACCCTCCAGCCTCCATCATCCCCACAGTGCACCATCAATCACACATGCACACACACTGAACCGCTAGACTGCAGCAACAGGAAAACCCTTTCGTGGCACACGGTCCGTAAAGCTGACCACTATCGCCACCTGGTGGTCAAAGAAGAAAGAAGTATCTGCTTTGCTCTTTATGCTGAGATGCATGTTTCATTTAAGAGATTTAGGAATGTAAAGCAGCTGCAGTGTATGTCGAGGTATAGCTATAGCTAAACAAATGATTCACTTTATAGATCCTAACATTCCTAAGCAGTATGACAAATGGTTCAAAGCTCTGCATTTAAAAAGTAGGCAAATAGCATCACAAAATGTCCTTCAGTAGCAAAAGTCAAAATTCATGTGAACATGTTATATTTTGCAATGCAAAAAGTTATGTGCACAGGAAGATTATTTCCGTCTGTTTCCTAGCTTCAATCAAGTGAGAATTTTGAAAGAAGGCCGAATAAGGGACTGCTGCTCTATAAATAAATATCTAAAATAATTCATGAAACCTTGCCCCTCTTTTCAGGTTTCATTTGTTTTAAGAAAATAAGACTTTTAGAACTCTAATAGAGGAAATGGTGAGTAAAAAGTGAAAAAACATTTTCTGTACCTTAAACATATATCTTTTCGTCCAGTGTTTCTTTTTCTAAATTCAGCCAGAATGATTAGGCAGACCATCTTTAAGCGAACCAGGCTTTTGCTGATTTCTGATTTATTCACTTTACATTCTCCATTTAAAATGTAATGTAAGCCTAACATGGTGCCAACTCATCCTTTACTTACGACCACAGAAAATGGATAATAGCAGTGTTGAGCCACCCAGTTTAGGTCATATGGTTAAAGCCAACTGAAGTGCTCAGTTTATAAGCCATGAAATGAAATCACGCTCTACATTTTGTGGCAGACGTGGGGCTAGCTGATGATCTTTTTTCCCCAATGAAGAAGTACTGGATGTCAAACATTTTAAACAACCATCATATTTTATCACTGTTCATGTTGGGGCGAATGACATTCCCCGTAAGGAGTTTTACAGAACCATGGTTAAAGAGCCAGCACCTCAGTAATATGTGAACTTGAAACAATTTTACGGAACAGTATCTGGGGGGTCTAGAGTGGTGGCTCAATGGATAACAAGGATCACAAGCAACAAGGTCATGGATTTGAGTCCCCCTGCAAGATGGATTCTGTGTGGACCTGTTCTCCTCGTACCCGTGTGGCTTTCATCGGCTCCGGTGTCCTCCCACATGCAGGATAGGTTATTTGGAGACTTCGCCTGTAGGTGTGAATGTGGGAGTTAATGTCTTTGTGTGTTAGCCCCGTGACAGACCGGCAACTCGCCCAGCGTGCACCCCACCTCTTGCCCAGTGTGGGCTGGAACAGGCTCCAACCCCCTGCAAACCTTGCACAAGAAAAGCATATTAAAGGAAAGCTGGATGCTAACGGAGGCAGTTTCTTTAGAAAAGATGGTCTCCACCCAAATGTTCTCAGGTCGCGAATGCTATCGGCCAATGTAATTAGTTTTATATCCTTAACTGCCAGCACTAAGCTGCAGGGTACGCGCCTGAATGATGTTCAGCAGTAGAATTATCTCTATCGCCCAGATGAACGAGCTGCCAACAGTAAGGGTGGAAAGGGTCTGAGCCACGGTGCCAACATGGCGTTGATGCCAGATTTTTTTACTCTCTCCCTCTTTTGTCTCCCTCTCACTTATATGTCTGTCTGAGTAAAGGAAAACTACAAAGTGCAGTGTCTTACTGTGCCTCCTGTGAAGTGGGTAACAGACTGGAAGATGTACAAATCTACACACAGCAACTCCTTTAATCTACATTAGATATCGACAGCATCTTCAGCCTCTCCCATAGACTCACCATCTCCTGTGTGTCTCTCTGTCTTGCTCCTAGCGGTGTTTCGACGACCATAGACCCGTTCTGGGACATCAGCCTGGACCTGCCAGGCTCCTCCACCCCATTCTGGCCCCTCAGTCCCGGGGGAGACGGATCAGCACTTAACGGGGAGAGTCACACCACTGGAGCCACAACACTCACAGACTGTCTGCGCAGGTAACTGACAGTAGAGCAACATTTCTTACATCATTTTTTGATAAATTCCCTCTTTAGCGTATCAAATCTTCTTTCTCTCTGCCACACAGTTCCACACTGGAAGTAAACAGTGCAGCTTTTTGTTTTCGCATGCATGCACTGACAAATTCAGAGACACGAACAATCCCAGAATCAGCACACCACAGTCCTTTAGAGAGCAAGTGACACACACGGTTAAATACCCACACATTCACGGTTCCCTGACCACTAATTCCTGTTCTTCCCAAATCCACTGGAGCAGAGATTCAGGGATAAAAGTGCACATAGACACAACTGCACTGGTACTAAACCGCATCCACTCCTGTGTAGGTTCACCAGGCCAGAGCACCTCGGCAGCAGTGCTAAGATCAAGTGCAGCGGTTGCCATAGTTACCAGGAGTCCACCAAGCAGCTGACCATGAAGAAGCTGCCCATCGTGGCCTGTTTTCACCTCAAAGTAAGAGTGTGTGTAGGTGTGTGTGTGTGTGTGTGTGTGTGAGAGTGTGAGAGAGAGATGATTTGACTGTGTTGTAACACGTGTTTCTTTGTTTGTTTCCAGAGGTTTGAACATTCAGCCAAACTGCGACGGAAGATCACAACTTACGTCTCCTTCCCGTTGGAGCTGGACATGACTCCCTTCATGGCCTCCAGGTGCATACGAATAATGTATAATGTATAAAAATAATGTAAAACCACCGGAATTAAAAGAACACTAAACAGTTGGATTTTTAAAAAACAAAAGCTTGCTGAAAGTTGGTGATGTTGTGGCTCAGTGTTGTCCTGCTGTGTGTTTCAGTAAAGAAAGCCGGATGAACGGGCAGTACCAGCAGACCGTAGAGCCCTTCAACAATGACAACAAGTAAGGCAAACATCTTTCTGTATAAACCAGTAAATCTAAATAAACCATCTGAACCAGCACTGGGTACAAATATTCCAAAAGCCAACTTATCATCACTCTACAGCAGTAAGTGTAACTGCACCATTCACTTCTGCTGGCTCCCTCCCTCTCAGCAAATTATGAAAATAAAAGATGTGCAAAGGACAGTGACTTTAGGGGGCGTGGCCTCGACACTGACCACAGTGATTGACAGACAGCGTAAGAGAGAGCTGTTGAGCGGCTGCTGTCAGACTCTCCGTGTCCGTGCTGGAAACACAGTCACTAGAAGCACTGACGGCTGTTGGTAAAAGTTTCTGTGTGGTACCTGTGTTGTAGCTGAGCTAATGGCTCCATTATGTGTGTCTGTGGGGGGGACTGTCAGTATGTGGGATCATGGTAACCATTGCAGTCTGGTGGTGTTTCTACAGCATCTTAAGTCCAAAGCACTTTGCCAGAACAGAACAATACTAAATAGAGGATTAAACTAACTAGGATAAACTCCTGGGAATGATGCGCTTCAATCAGTACACATTTGAAAATAAGCGCAGCGGCTTCACAGACACCCACTCAAAGCAGAGGCTGGGGGAGGGGGGTTGCCGTTCTCTGATTAAAACTGGCGTTAACACTGTTTATTTTATATACATTTTATGACTTGAGTCGACCATTTGGGGCGACTATCTTAGCATTTGTCCTTAAATGTAAAGGGTGATACATTAGAGGGCGTGTTGAGACAAAACACAAAATGCAGATTTTCATAAATTTGGTAACATTGATGTGTTTCATCACAGTAAAGTCGTAATTCAGTTTACAACTACTGGGTGCAGTAACTCTTTATGGTTGTGTTAGTGACCCTCCTAACAACGGACCTGACAGAATGAATCTTGCATAATGAAAAAGGTATTCAGTGTGACCAGTCTTCATTCCTTTCACTGGAGAGAATCCACCACAGATTTGATGTTAATCTTTACTGTCTGTGTTGTAAAAGAAAGTGTTTGGGTTGTTTTTTTTATTTGCTTTATTTATCCACTCATTTTCCAGTGGTGTCAGCTGTTTGTAGTTGCAGCATGAATGCAGTCTGCATTAAGCCTTGGTGCAGCAATAAGCCTCCTCTTCTCTCTCTCTTATTGTGTTTCAGGTATAGCCTATTTGCAGTGGTGAACCACCAGGGGACACTAGAGAGCGGCCATTACACCACCTTCATCCGCCAGCACAAGGACCAGTGGTTCAAATGCGACGATGCCATCATCACCAAGGCCAGCATCAAGGACGTCCTGGATAGTGAAGGGTGAGTCATAGTGTTGGGCATAGCGCCTCCACTGCTGTTAGTTAGATTTGTCCAAATGTAACTAAATACAGTTAGTATTTCCCATAGCCGTTTGACAGCAACCGCTTCCTTTATTAGTGCTGCTGCAATCTGACCTCATGGTGCTTTTATCTCCCCAGGTACCTTTTGTTCTACCACAAACAGTTCCTGGAGTACGAGTAGTTCCCTCCACCAGCACCGCCTGCAGGAGTCGAGGGATGATGCAAGGATTACAGTAGTTGCATGAGAAAAGGTAACAGAGTGATGAGAGAGGCGTGGAAACAGAAACACAAGCCTACCTGATTCACTCTTTAAGTCGCAACTCTCTATCATGGAACCACCCTTAATACATACTAATCTAGTTCCACCGTAAGACATTCAAGGAAGAGCCGTCGGCCGTGCAGGATAGTGCAGAAAGCGTCAGAACCATCAAAATTTAAGAAATTTGTGTGATCCCTGGAGGAATATTGCACGCCTGCAAAAGTTATTCACTTGAATTCGGGGGATGAAGAAGAAAGCAGCTGTGATAATCTTCTATAAGAACGAAATGACTGCAGAATCAGTCTGTACTTGGTGTCTGACAGTAGAGGAATAGTGTCCCATCCCCACCTTTTCTCTCTTTCAGACACAGACAAAAGAGCAGGAGTTGTTTTTAAAACCTTACCTTATCTTGGGAAGGTTCACTTGATCACAAATCCTGTTCTACACCAACATCCTGTTCGACGTCATGCTCGCACAGCTGCATTTACGATCACCTGAGGGCGCTGAGAAGTGGAACTCGGGGGTTCGAGGCTCTGCTTTAGCGAAGAAAGTGATTATTTGTATTTATTTTTTATTAGTTTTTCCTAAACTGGCAACTTTCTGGACACAAGCACACTTGTCTGACACACTCACAGTCCTCCAAACGACCAAATGCTTCAAGGATGGACGTTGTCTCTATTATGCACTTTTGTTCAGAATGCAAAGAGTGGGGGAAAGAAATCACCTGACAAATGGTATTATGAACATCGTATAGAAAAAGACAGTTAATTCCATTTATTACTCGTGAGTTTGTAGGTGTCAGTCAGATACTTTTAGGAAACCTTTTTTTGAAACAAGGACGCAAAGGATCTGTTATTTTCTGCCTCTCATGCTGCTTCCAACAGTCACAGGGGGAAATAAATTACACAGTGAATATTATATTTTTATACATACTGTAATTAAAAAGTTTGTTTACAGTTTTTCATTCTCCCCAAACTCTCACATTGTTCGTCTGTGTTGCATTGTGTCGTCAATCATGTTTTTTTGTACACACAAAAGCAAAATAGTGCTGATGACGTTCTTGAAACTGCTGCTATGGCGGCTCAATTTTTAGCAAGTCATTTAACTTTAATTTGGTCACATTTTTTGGCTTTACAGAAGCATTTATCTCCACGTTCAAGATATGTTGTTGTGATGCTGTTTCAGGTAAATGGCAAAAAAAAAGAAATGAAACAAAAGAGGAGACCATAATTCTCCGTACGGAGTGTGTATAATGGGTCAGAAGCTCGATTCTACAGTGTTAACCGTCGGCCGCATGTCGCTCTAAATCAGTGTGTTTGTGTGTGTGTGTGCGTGTGTGTGCACGTGTATGGGCCTGAAAAAAGGGGAGGGGAGGGAAAAAAAAGCTCAGTGTAGGTGTGTTTGTGTAAAATGTGTTATTGCGTGTAAAGAGACAAAAAACAAAAGTGCGTATGTGTTCCCGTTTGTATGCACGTGTGTTGTGCGCGTGCGTATGTAGCGTATGTTCGTGTACTGAATCAGTACTTGCATTCAGCATGCCGTCTGAGCTGGGTATCACAGTTTGATAGGATTTTTTTCCACATGTTGATGATGTATGTAAAAGTATATATGTACAGTTTGTATTTTGAGAGACAAATGGTGAAACCTCAAAAGTTGATTTTGTTCTTCTATATTGCTGGATCCGGACACGGGGTCGTAATCAGAAGAAACTTGTCTTGACCCGGTCAGTCATTCCTCACACACACATGTAACTGCTGCAAGAACTGGACACAGTGATTGAAAAGACACTCAAATAAAGAAAAATCTATATCTGTAAACACTTTTCTGCCTGTTATTGATTGCCCTTGGTTATGAGATTATTTTGTGAACGTTAATTACTGATTGAAGAATATCTACGGATTAGTTTGAGGGTTATCCAACTGCAGGTAACCATAACAACAGTACTTCATGCTGTTTTCAACTCTCACTGGTCAAACAGAACAGAAGAAGGATTCAACTCATTACAGACACAGTTTCTCTCAAAATGTATATTTTTTTATTTGTCCTTATTGGGAGAAAGGGAAGTACAAAGAGATCAGATGAATAATCATATAAACCATCACCCCACAAATATATACATAACGCACACCTTACACAAGTTACATGTTTGTACCACCACTTGCACATATACATGTCTGCAGACAGTAAATGCCTCTGCCCTGTAATTTAGATTTGGTTGTTATAAACATGAAGCCCTTACAGAGGAATCAGTGGAACTTGAACACTTCTGACTTTGGCGACTCCCAGTGGTGGTATAAAAAATTACCAATGAATTACTTTAGACTAAAGTAATGATAGTGACAAGACAAGTTAAGAGTAACTTGTCTTGTCACCTAGAATACTCTCCTATAGTATGCTCAACTGCAATGAACATGTTCAGACACACAACTATTCCTGTCAATATATAGTTCTCCGAAATTATGCCTTATGGAAATGCGATCTCACGTTTAGCAGTCTGATGGTGTTGGGTCATCGTTGAGCTTATGTGGGTAACCATAACTTGTAGTTTTCGAATGTGTAACCACTAGCAGTAGTCAGTCTTTGTCACAGCCGTTTGGTTTGTTGAATCAGAGGAAGTCAGTGTTCAGTTCAGTGAAGCAATGACTTCACCCGTTCCATCCTTGGTTTTCACCTCCACCGTGTCCTTGTTGTTTCATAATGAAAGGATCATGGGTTAAAAAGCCAAACTATACAGTGCCAGTAGCAACTTTGTATCAGACATGCTTCCAGTTTCTATTCTCAATAAGCATTTGGCAAGATAATTTAACGAGATCCACAGTGTCATCCAACTAGTTGTCTGATTTGTACCCTGATGTTTCCTGTTCTTTTTAATTAAACTGGACCAGGCATAGATGTTTTATAAAAGTCGGTTGTAGCCTTTGCGATGTGTTCAAGTGAAACTTTTAACTGAAGTCATGAGGCAGTGCATCTGTTAATCTTTATCAGTTCTTTGCTGTCAGATTGTTGTCGGGGCACATTGCTGCCTTTCAAGCTCCACAAAACCTTGATCATAAGTCAACTCATTGCCCTATTTTCAGTGATACTAAGAATGCTTTTCACTGCCTTTTGGCACCAAAATCCACATTTTGTCAGCATGCCTTCATCAGAGAGCAAAATATAAATGAGTTTGTCACATTTAATATGAATCAACCACACAACAGCTTTTGAAATATTTCTAATGGAGAGACATCCTTCACTTGTTTACTTTTGTGTTTCTTTTAGCATGAGAGGCATTTTGTTATACTAATTCTTGCTGATGCATTCCCGCTGTTTCTGCTTGTTGAGGGGTTGACAGGGTCGTACATGAGCATTCATCCCTTTTAACACAAGTTGTTTAATTTTCACAATCCCCCCCAAAAAAAGCTGCATGCTGTGAGAGTATCGACAGTCTGATTGAAAGTCTAGTACGCTGACAATCTCCTATGAACTGGGGACACATTCAGTCATTCCAGCCGCTCTGTGAGACAGCAAATTAGCCTGCTCCTGCACCTCGGCTCCAGAGGTGTATAAGTTCTCGTCAGTCCAGAGAGGCCCTCCGTTTTGGGTCTGGGCTCTGTGGAGGACAACCTGAGGGTAGTATGAATAAGGTGCTGTCGGTGGCCTGTCACTGCCCTGGCTTAGTGCTTTCAGATCAGGGAAACAGTGGACACACACGCAGGTCTCAGTGGGGCTGGAGTCATCCGATGGCTCACGGTCAGTGGGACAGCTCGAATTTGCTATGAAATCTGTAGAAAGACAGAGAGGGTAGTGCACACATTGGAGTAAAATATACATCAAACAGAAAGAAGATTCGTCTGTAGGAGAATCATTTTACTACTTGACCAAACAGATTATTCCAGCTAAACCACTTATTGATTGCACTGATTGCGGGCTTGCAGGCTTTGAACCACACTAACCTTGGGGTCTCTGCCCTGGCTGGTCAACCTCCTGGCCCAGCTGGATCACGCTCTCCTGCTTGTGGTCAGCCTCCTTGGGTGTTTGCTTGGAGGTTTTGGCCCTGGGTCCCCTCAGAATGACGACAAAGGCTAGAAACAAGCTAGAGAACAGCATCACCATGCACAGGGCCAGCAGGGAGTACAGCAGAATAGTGGGGTCATCCGGGGCTGACAGCACCAAGGGCCCTCTGGGATTTGGCACGTGCGAGGTAACAACCAGGAGCTTTTTAGTGATCATGGGAGGTGGCGAAGCTGAGGGGATGTCTGTGATGGAGGGGGGGAAAGACTTTAAAGACCAAACAGCTTTTGCTTTTGACTGACTGCTTCGTGATACCAAGGGATTTTCCATCCGACGACCACTAACCTCTTAAAGGTCTGGTTCTGTTTTATTACAAACATATCCTGAAGCAGAATGTTGTTGGGTCGAAGCATTTTACATCTGTGAAACTCAACAGCAATATCTCTATCTGCTGCAAACCATTTTCATTGAGAACCACCCACATAAGTATTTTTGGCATTTGTTCTTTTTATTGGGCAGCTGATTGTAAAGAGATGACTGGTAATTAAAAGAGAAAAAGATATGGAGTGCCGTGCAACAAAGGTCCCTGGCCAAATGAAAATTGTTAGCCTTTTGGGTCACTGCCCTTACGCCTACATTAGCCTTTCTGGGCATCCCAAACTACCCACATTCTCCACCAAAGTACAACCATCAAGTGTGTATATCCACACAGAAGTAGGCATTCTCTAGATATGCCTTCTAGCTATAGCTACTGTGTTTAGGTAAGTTAGCTGCCAGCCTTCTAAAGAAGTCACTGCGATTGGTATTTTTTTGTAGTTTGACAAGTTCCTTCTTTACCATTAAACTTTTATAGTTAGCCAACTCGTGCTCTGAAAACATTGTCCACTGAGGTCTAACTTAACATTTATGCCTCCAAGAAAAAAAAATCTATGTCACTAAATAATTAAAGCTTTAAGTCAGGGTCAGTACTTACTCTGGCAGTGTTTGGAGCATTCTGCTGGATGTCTTCCACAAACCTCAGCGCACATCAGACATTTCTTCAGCAGCCCATCATGGTAGTGGCCAGGCAGTGCCTTACAATTTGAAATCTCTAATGCAGAAGGACACATAGTTTGAAAGCAATCGGGAGAGACATGATACATTTAATTCACTTATGTCTACTTGGCATTATATTCATGGTCTTGAGGACAAATCTGGTGTTACCAATGCTAATCAGCTGTTTCTTTTCTTTTGCTATTGCTGTTGAATCACCTACAGGAAGATATGCAGGCAGAAATAATGCCTGAAATACATATTACATCTTCATTATTTAAGGCATCCTTTATTGCAAGGCAACACGTTTTTCAAGCTAGATTAGTTTTTTATTTAAAAAAAAAAGAATGAAAAAGTCCAATTGAATTTGTCCCACATAAATGTTGCCTCTGATCCAACTGGTAACAAAAGTGTCCTCCTTGCAACTATTGCACCTTCTTTTAGGACTATCAGGACAATTAGAAACTGCTAGAGCTTTGTTTAGTGCATAATTTACCCAGGTTTTGATCTCAGTCCATGTAGCATAATCCGTACATGTGAGGAAATGTGAACTTTGAATTTCACAAGCTATAACAACCTTGCATAATATGTATTCCTATACCTCTAACCTAATGTGTGTCTCTCTCTGTGTGTGTGTGTGTGTGTGTTCACTTGCCACAGTAAACGGTGCATCTTGGGGTCACGTATGATCGGTTGCATTGTGATTTGCAGGACACACATTTTTTAAGTAAGGAATCCTTGTACTCATTTTCCTGGCAGCTTTGATCCATCAGCTCTGGTAACCCTCACGCTGACAAACACACAAACGACAACACAAAGATATATACAAAGGTAAGTGTAGAGGAAATAGCGGTAATATGGGCATAACTTTGAATATGTGAAAGATATTATCCATGTATATGTATAGTGTTTAGGTATGTGAAAGGCTGTGAAAAGGTTGCAGTTTGGTTAGGTTTAGGCAACAAAAAATTCTTAGTTAGGTTTTGGAAAAGATCATGGTTTAGGTTAAAATAAGTAAGCTTTTATGTCAGTTAAGTTACACCTGTAAGTAAGCTAAATACCTTAAGGAAGTTATACCAGGCTGGTATTTTCAAAGTAACAGACCAGTCTCAGAAATGGGCTTTTCGGCCTGATGGGACATTTTTTGGACGACTGGTGTTCTACTACTGCATGGTGACATTGCATTGCCAAATTGTTAGCAGAAAGTCGTGTACCGTAAGCCATAATGCAACGTGTCATGACACTGTCTACGGTGCCCCTGTAGAATGTGATGAGAATAGGGAGCCATGCTTTCTTCATGCGCCGGAAATGGAGACGCTGTTGTACTTTTTTGACTATGGAGGTGTGAATGATCCTTAGATTACTTGTGATATGATGATGATGAACCATCTCTGCCGCAAATCCATTGATTAGAAGTGGGAAATGAGTATTGTTTTTTCTGAAATTAAAAAAGGTTGTCGTCTTTTCAACATTAAGAGATTATTGTGCAGCGGTGATGGTGCTGGAGGTGTTGCTGCCGACCCGAACTGCCTGAGGTAAAGAAATCAAGGATCCATCCAGCAGAGCCAACCTCTGGGGAAGGATGGTGTTTAACACAGAGATACAATCCATGAACAGCATCCTTGTAGTTAAACACTGTATTATTTGGTGTATTTTGGATGAGTTGGGCTTTTATATCGTGAAGGTCTTCAAACTTTGCTTCAAAAGCATGGCAGACCCATTTTCCTTTTGTGTTTTTAAACTTTCTTTTTAGAGCAAACCCTGAGAAATATGTACGAAGTCCAGGAATCCAAAGATAAATGGCCATCAGCAACGTGCCAGCCTCGCGGTTGCTGCGACACGTAAACACCCATCCTTTCAAAAATCATGTCTTTGTACTCAAACACAGTCTTCTTCGCTCCGCTGCACTGAGTCAGCCAACTGTGAAAGAAACAAGATCTAAAACTCCTCCACCCTCCATTGCTTACACACACAGAACTGTGAGCCTGATTTATTTTAGTTCACACACAGATAATGCACACTTCATGTAAAGTTAGTACAATGTGTACCTATCATAAACACATTCTAATATACTGAAGTGCTTATTTCGACACAAACCAAAATCATAACTTAGAGTTACCCGTCTTCTTTTTCATGTGTTTAGCTACTTTTGTGCCTCCTTATTAAGTTTTGTCGTTGCACTTTTTGCTATTCCTAGTTCCATTTTGAGAGGTTGTATAAGCTCCTTATGTTTAGTCTCACCGGCATTGTTGGTTATGGTGTGTGTGGGTGGGGGTGAATGTAACTGGTGAAAGCAGAGAAAGCAGAGAAAGCAAAGACATGGTAATCAGAGAGCTCACTGGGAGCCGCAGAGCCACCACAAACGCTAGCTGAAGCCGAGGGTTCGATTCCCACCTGGACTACCTGTGGTGACCACAAATACTGAAAACACAAAATTCAGTTTGCTGAATTGACCTGCTATGCGTTGACAAACAAGCTTTTAGAGGGATCACTCACCTGGCGAGATGAAGACGCGATGGGAGAATCCTTGGTTTGAAGATGAGAGTGACACAGGCCTGTGTTTCAGCATGGAAGCTTATTTGGGTATGAACTCACTATTTGATCTGGGACTTCCCCCTTTGTGCTAGGAGGATCCCCCACAAGAACACACACCAAGGTCATATCCAAAAAGTTTGTCTTTTTTGTGTTTTTATGTTTTTTTGAACACTGAACACAGCAGATTTCTGTAATTAGGATATTTTGATGATGAAAAGCAGACTTAACTGTCAATTTGAAAACACATTTCCACAAATTGGACTAAATAACTACAGAAATATGACAGTGGTGGAAGAAGTATTCAGATATTTTACAGAAGTAATACCACAATGTAAAAATACTAGAAAAAAGTCCTGTATTCAAAATCTTACATCAAACACAAAAATATTGTGGAGGAGAAGTAAAATTGTTAAACCAACATTTATTCTATTTCTCCATTCCTGTGTAGCTTAAACTTTATATTTAAGGTTGTAGCCTAGCTTGAATGTAAATCTTCTCCCATATAAGGAGAAGGTTACACCACCAGGCTTCATGCTAGGAAGTGCAGCGTTTGTCTCGAGAACTTTCCCTCGGGGATCAATAAAGTATTTCTGATTCTGAGTATTTCTGAGCCAAATAAAGTGTAGTTAACCTTACTAACTCATATTTGGTTGAAATGTTACTTTGTGTTCACGGGGCACCGTTTTGACACCTCGTATCAGAAAAAGCACACCTGTTTAATGTCTTTAATGGTTATTGTGCATGCTGGCTCAAAGTGAAGGTGTACTGAGGCTTTTAATGGAACTGAGACATTGTTTTGTATTTGCACATGTGCTTTACTTTCTCCAACAATTCAAAAAATGTCAAGAAAAAGTCCTAGTGACTGAAAAAGTTTTCACATAGGTGTATTGTAAAGTAAAATTACTGTCACCATAGTTGATCTCCACTTATCATGCCACTTCTCAAAGTGTTTTATTGAAAAGGGAGAATTCTTTTGCATGCAGTCATTTTGTTCTTTATATTTCAGTTTAATTTATTTTCAGATATTGTTATAATAGGACTCGCAAAATATTGAATATTTTAATAAAACAATGAATATTTGTCTCCAAAAGGTCCTGCTGCTGAGTCTAACTTACAGTTTGCATACACACTGACTACAGTGACTCACTGTTTACTGGTATTAATATGCTTTCATCCAGTTATTACATTTTATTTGGAAGATGTGACTAAGCCCGGCCTCTCAACAGAAGTGTGAAACTGTGGGGCAATTCTACACCGTGTGTTACTCTCCACTGAGCACAAGAGCAGATTTCACTGTTTCATCTCTGCTTCTGTTCTCATAGGAACCAGGATCTTTCTGGCCGTATGCTACTTACTTTTAGACTGAAAGTGAATGCACTGAATTATTTCTAAACAGAGCATGAACACCTGAAGATATGAAACATGTTAGATTTATTTTGGTCCAGTTTTTATTATATAAAGACATTAAAGAGATCTCACACAGTGCCTGTTTCCTCAACTAATACCAACAGTAATTCATTATGTATTTAGATAAATAAGTAAGTGTGTAAAGAGTGGAAATCAAAAAATAGTAGAAAGTAAAGTTAAATTAGATAAGCAGTAAGGGCAGATCATAACAAATCAAGGCGAGATCAAGAATAAAAATCACTGATATGAAGCTTTAGGTTTTAATCAGGGCACTGTCTTTGTCACTCTGAGATTTTCAGGGAGGCTTTGCTGTGCAGCTGTTAGAAGGTAACGGAAATTCTGGGCTGACAAGTCATTAAAAAGGTGTTAGTTTTGTTTTACAGCGTGCGAATTTTGTTCTGCTTTGTGACTTTTAAAACAATTAGCTGGAGGCATGCAAGAGAACACAGATGCATGGTCACTGAGTTGTGGACAATCCATACCGTCCTCTTAAATGAATTGTTCACTACTGAATAGTATATCGTTGGATGCACATAGTTGCTCTATGGTTACAAAGTGTAGTTCTGCTGCAAGTTCGGTACATATGAGTCATTAAACAAATAACCATCTCCACACACACACACACAC